AAAAAAAAAAAAAAAAAACAAAAAACAACTAAAAATGATTTTGTAAGACCAGTAAGCAGACTAACATTTCTGTAATTCCTGCTGTTTTCAAAACCATTATAGGTACATGTTATAGAGTTCTTTAAAAGCTGACCTAAAGACAATTATGAAGAAAAAATATACCAAAAATAGTAGCTAGAGGTCAAAAAATATAGCTGGGTGCAGTGGCATGTATCTGTAGTCCCAGCTACCTGGGAGGCAAAGGAGGGAGGACTAGCCCAGGATTTTAACTCCAGCCTGGACAATAAAGCAAGACCCCATTTCTTAAAAAAAAAAAAAAATTCAAAAGGAGTTAAGAAGTATAAAAACAGTGGAGAAGGCTAGGTGTCATGGCTCATGCTGGTAATCTTAGCACTCTGGGAGGCCAAGGCAGGTGGATTATCTGAGCTTAGGAGCCCAAGACCAGCCTGAGCAAGAGTGAGACCCCATCTCTAAAAATAGCTGGGCACTGGGGTGGGTGCTGATAGTCCCAGCTACTCAGGAGGCTGAGGCAAGAGGACTGTGTGAGCCCAAGAGTTTGAGATTACTGTGAGCTATGACTCTATAGCACTCTCTCTACCCAGGGCAACAAAGTGAGACTCTGTATAAATAAATAAATGAATAAATAAAATGAAGAAAAATAAATCCTTTACTAGTATATGTTTATTAACTCAAAGGTTGGAAAATACAAAGAAAAAATGGAGAGACTTTTAAAAATAATATCAATTTGCAAATATGCAGTCAACTCAGGTTTATTTATATACATTTAGTATAGAACATGACCCAAAGTGCAAGCCTGAATATTGTTAAATTGATACTATTTTAGCATATGTGTTCAAACACTTCCTAAATTAGCTAGTCTACCCTTTTGGTAGTAGCAGTAAAAACAGATTGTATGTTGTTGATGGCAGAAGGTTCCTTAAACTGAATGTTAGCTTCTGTGGCTTCCCAGGATTCAAATCACTACCTGAAGAGCAGTGTTCCTGAGGCAAGCCGGATGCAATTGTTAAAAGACGCCATAAGAACACCTCTTCCAAATGAGGGCTGCCAAGTTGCCTGTATTCTCAACCTGTTGTCATTATGCCATGGAAAAAAGTACTCAGTAAAAATGAATCTATAACAAATGTACACAACTATGTCACCCTCGGTAGAGTGCCGTGGCGTCATAGCTCACAGCAACCTCAAACTCTTGGGCTTAGGCGATTCTCTTGCCTCAGCACCCCAGAAAGCTGGGACTACAGGCCCCTGCCACAATGCCCAGCTATTTTCTTGTTGCAGTTGTTTACTTGGCCCTGGCCGGGTTCGAACCTACCACCCTTGGGCGCTGTAACCACTGTGCCACGGAGCTCCAAGCCACAAAATGCTTCTAATTTATAAGAGAAGAAGATGAACTTATACATACAATTTTAAACAATGCCTTATAAACTGAAAATATTATACTTATCAAGTTATTTACCTTGGATAGATCTGGCTTTAGGATAAGTCTTCTGTGGATGGTTACTTGAACTATACAAATAGATCTTTGAGTTTTAACTATTAGATTACTATATGCCAAAATTAATGCTAATGCAAATTTGCATAATCACACTATCAGGCTAACCAGACAATCTACCATGTGCTAAATTTGATAAGAATGAGTCAAATAGTAATTTGTCATAATAATAACAAAAGAACAGTAGCAACTAGAAATTACAACAAATATAATGAAAACAAGCAAGCAAGCAAGAGAAAATTTGCAGCCAACTATAAAACTAAGATAAGATTTTTCCTGGAAAATGGCTAGAATTCCAATTATATACAGGTACATGTGAATAGGGGAAGATTTGTAACATCATAGAATACTGAATTAAAGTCCTTAATAAACTTCTTTATATGTTAACTTTAGTTCTGAATACAAAGTTTCAATAACTCCTACCTTACTTATTAGTACCAAGTCTTCAGATATATAAAGAAATGAAAGTTTGCTGGGCGTGGTGGCTCACACCTGCAATCCTAGCACTCTGGGGGACCGAAGAGGGCGGACTGCCTGAGCTCATGGGTTTGAGACCAGCCTGAGCAAGTTTGAGATCAGCCTGAGCAACCTATCTCTAAAAAATAGTTGAGTGTTGTGGCAGGCACTTGTAGTCCCAGTTACTTGGGAGGCTGAGACAAGAGAATTGCTTGAGGCAAGAGTTTGACTTTGAGGTTACTGTGAGCTCTGATGCCAATGCACTCTACCGAGGGCAACAAACTGAGACTCTCAAAAAAAAAAAAAAAAAGAAAGAAAAAGAAATGAAAGTTTAAGGAAATGGCGAACTTTACTCTTTAGAACAAACAACCACAGATGTCCCAGACCTGCAAAATCTAACTACCAAGCCCCGTTAAATGTAACTACTGAGGGTCCCATGCGACTATATAGACCCCTAGACAAAGAGCTTACAGAGAGGGAGAGAGAGCACTTTTCTCTCCTGACTCCAGTTTTCTCTCTCTGCCAGGAGCTCTGGCACTTCTGTAAATAAATCCTGTCTTCCAACAGATCTGTGGTTCGTGGATTCATTCTTCGAATCACCAAGACCAAGAACCTACTAAAGAGCAAAATTCCGGTACCACTCTTACCTCAAGTCAGTGCTGAGCCCCCTCCTCCTTTGGTCTCTGAATATTATGTTTTGTGGCCTATTTAGCCACCTGCTGACATTCACCCCCCTGTTCTAGTCATATTGATGCTCCTGCTCATTTCTTTTTTTTTTTTTTTTTTTTGGCACTTTTGCAAATAATATTCCAGCTATCTAAAATA